TGAGCTATCTTGCATGCTTCTACCTCTGCTTGCTTTCTGGTAAAAGAGCTTTGCGCCTTTTTCGATTCAGCATCAGCACGGGCCTCTAATAGCTTATCGCTTAACATCGAACTTCTGGAGCGAGAGGATCTAGAAGAAAGTGCAGTGCGCTTGGTTGAGGTGGATCTGTGAGATCTGGTCTCCTGCAGTTGAGTAATGCAGAGTTCTGCTTTAAACTTAGCATTTTGCACTGCAAGATCCCTTTGTTGGTTTAGTGCATCAGTCCTGGTCAGTTCTGCTGAAGAATCCTCTATATTAGAGTCCTGCAAGAAAGCTGAGTATTTTACAGACAGCCGCTGGTAGTGTTCATATGCAGCAGATAGGCGATTTATAGAGTCTCTTAATTCAGCTGGTTGATCATTAAAGTGTGACAAAACTGACATGCATTGTGAAGTTCGGTCCCAGAGGTCTGACAGATTACTGGAGAACTCATCTCTAGTGGCTTTATAGTTTCTGTGTCGGTTTTATTGTACGTTTGGGTTTTACGCTCTGTTCGGGAATGTCTGCAGAATCTGCTCCCTGTACATCTGCTGGTTCAGAGGAATGATGTATCTGCGTTGGTTCGGCCATAAAGGAGTGTTCAGAGCCTTGTCTAGACATTTTTTACTGTTCTGCAAAAATTGGTACTGTCTCTTTAAGAAGACGAACAGCAGCTTAGACAGGTGGGGTAACACAGTTCAATGCAGAGAAACAGTTTTCAACATTCACATGAAGTGCAGTAAGCTTGTGCGACCATGTGCTTTGCAAGATGGCGGATGGCACTGAGCTTGATTGCAGATTAGGCACACACATATACACAGCAGGCTGTACGGATTCTATGCATCTTTTGACTATTCTGACTCAGATTGTTGTGATAGCGATTTATCCCTTGTGAGACCTCTCTGCCTAGCCTGTATAAGCAGATATAATCACTGTGGGCAATCCTTATCAGATAGCTGAACTCACCAATACTGTGTTCATCCAGAAGTTGCTTTATTCTGTACATGTGAAACAGGATACAGAAGAATGAATGGTTTCCAGTATTATGCGGTCAAAAGATGATACTTTCTGTAGCGTACTATGCAGAATACATGTGGTCTGTTAGCTGCCTCCATGACACAGGAAGTGCTGAACTCAAGAAGAAGGGGAGGAGCTACATATACAAAGGAATTGTGTCATAGATCTCAGGGAGGCAACATGAAAAACAAATGCATTACCAAATAAGACCACTGGATGGCAGCATTACTAATTATAGAAATGTCCATAGAAAATGGTACAAAGAATAAACTATATGAACTCTCATGTACATTAACATAAATATTAACTGTGTAACAGCATACTTGGTGTGGGAAACCTGTGACCCATGCGTGTTTCCTGCACTACGTTCAAAGTGAACTGCAAGGGGTGTCAATTAGATAAGTGCATTTTGTTTCGTTATAATTCGTTTTTTGGATGAAAATGCAATTTTTGCAAAATTTGGATGTATAAGAATCTCTGAATGGACATAGTAATGAATGATAAACAAAAGCTATAACAAAATTAACTAAAGCATGTGTTTTATTCAGATGATGTCCAGTAGTTAAAGCCCATGGGGGAAATTGATTAGATTTTTGCATTTGTTTGATAATTTGAATTCGGATAATGAATCCATTCGAATTTCGTTCCGTTAGGTAGTTTGGATGCACATGATGCAAGTTGATATTGTCCAATCAGCTCATGCCATTTCTTTTGGTGGGTTGGACTGATGGCTGAAAATATTGAATCTTTCTGTTTTGAATCCGTCTGATTCGATAATATATCACCCAAAACGAAAACAAATAAAAATTTCCGGTGTTGTCAGGACAGGAGCAGTGGAATGAACGGGCAGGACTAATGGTAGGGTCACGCACCGACTGACGACAGCCACCACCCACAGACCGGAGTCCCTCAGGGCGCAAAGTCTAAGCCCCAGGCTGCCTTTCACCAGGGCCTCTGATGGTGGGGATGGACTTGACACAGCCAGGGACCAGGTTGCGGCCCCCGAGTAACCCCAGCTGCGTTAATGGCCGCTGCCAATAGCGTAAAGCTGGTGGGAACCAGATGGGAAATGATAGCGTAGTCGGACAGGCCGGGGCGATAACAGAGGGACAGACAGTACAAGACGGTAGGCAAGAATACACAGGTCACGAGCCGGGTTCAGCAACGGGAGGTCAGATAAAGGGATAAGGCAGAGAATAGTCTTAGTCAAAGCCGAGTCGGTTTCCAGGAGAGCAACGAGAGTAGAACAATCACAATCATACAGGACACGAATGCAAAGAGCAAGTGCAGACAGCAGGCTTAAATGTGATCAACCACACCCCTCTGGAGGAGGGACCGCAAAGGCCTGAAAGCATAAAAGGCTCCCACCATGCTTTGCAGAAACCTAAAATGGATGCCAGCACATGGAGCAGCACCAACTCTGAGGAAAGGTAGAACCTTGACAGGTGTGCACATGTCTAGTGTAAATGTCAAGTTAAAGTATAAGTTCACCTTTGAGAACAGGTTACAAGTTTCCCCCGTTTTTAGGGTGGAACATGGAATATGTACCCACTGCTGCAGCTGCCCCGCCCCCCCCACCTCTGACAAATAGTACGGGGAGAAGATCCCCATACAGCTGTCACTTTTTGAAAATAGCACGACTGTGTGGGGCTCTGCCCACATAGCCGCATCATTCATTCACAGAGTTCTGTGAATGAATGAACTATAAATAAAGCATCCTTTGCGGCTGTCGACTTGTTGTTCCAATGAACTACCATGGCACTGCGGAGCACTGTGGTAGTTCATTGAGTCTTCCTGTCAGTGTAAAACTGTCTTCCCATAAGAGGTACAAGCAAACAGCTTACACTGACATTCTGCTGCATCGCAAGTGCAATGCTTTCCAGATTCAAAAAAAAAAAAGAAAAGTAAATGCACATTTTTTTCTACAAAATAAAGTAAAAAATAAAATAATTTTTTTTTTAAGCAAACTTATCCTTTAACGACATCCCAAATGCAGGTCACAAATGCAGTGCGCATAAATGCACCATGTGATCCAGCTGCAGTGTGTTTCTAAAAGTAGTGCATGTCCTACTTTTGGTGTGATGCAGAACAATTTGAGCCCATTCAAAATGAATGGAATCAAATTGCACAGCACTGTGTGAATCGAATAGGAATGCACTGCATGTTTCTGTGCAATTCATAGGTGGAGATTTGCTAAGATTGGTGCACTCACAATCTAGTGCAGCTGTGCATGGTAGACAATCAGATTCTATCTTAACCTTGTTCAATTAACCACTTCATGTCCGGACACTCTTACCCCCTTTCCTGTCCAGGCCAATTTTCAGCTTTCAGTGCTGTTACATTTTGAATGACAATTGCGCGGTCCTGCAACACTGTACCCATATGAATTTTTAAGCATTTTTTTGAGACATATAAAACTTTATTTTGGTGGTACTTATTCACCACTGGGATTTTTTTTATTTATTTTTTGCTATATAAATGAAAAAGTCCAAAAATGTTGCAAAAAAAGTTTTTTCTTTTACAATTTTGCAAATAAATAATCTTTCTTTCTTCATAAATCTTGGCCAAAATTTATTTAGTTATCTTTTTAGTAAAAAAAAATAACCCAAATTAGTTTATAACCAAAAATTATAATTTTTAAAACACTTTTTTTTATATTTTTATTTTATTTTTTATATTATTTTATATATATATATATATATATATATATATATATTAAACATACTGTCACCCTAGCAGTACAGTGTCACCATAGTACTACTTGTGGGGTTTGATGAAGATTTTTTTTTTTTTACACTGATTGCTTTTACACCCATAAAGGCTGTAAATGCAATCATTTCTCCATCTCTCTGGCTGCATTCTTGCAGCCATTGAGAAATACTGTGTGAGCTGTGATTGGTCACAGCTTGTGACATGGTACAAGGCTGTTGTGAATAGCCTTGTACCATGTGATCTCTGTGATCATTCACAGATTTCACACATAGTAAGCAATGTCAGAAGTGACATCTTACTTACACCTATTCATGTGATCACTGATTGGCCAATCAGTGATCACATGATCGGGACCTCACACAGAGGACACAGCAGGCACCAGATTGTGGAGCCTCACGCTCCCAGGGAGCGCGCACAATCCAAAATGGCGGGGCGCCGTTTATGAACGGCAACCTGCCCCTGCACTGCCACCATCCGGCCATTTATATACAGCAGCCGGATGGGAAGTGGTTAAACTTTGGCAATAGTTACACCAGATTTTGCACTGTCCAGTTTTAGTAAATAACCCCCGAAGTGTGGACTGAAGCTAAAGGGCTCCTCTTCAACAAAACAAACATTGTCATAACTCTTACTTCAGTGCCGCCCATTGAAAGGACAACAAGGTATAGGAGCTCATCAGCCAGGGGAATGATGTCCAGGGTCAGGCATTTGTCTCAGGAAGCATGGCTTCAAGGTTTCTCAAGGTTGAGAGACTGCAGACAGCTGTCATTTGCCATCACTATCCCAACAGTCAGCCACTGTCTCTCAGATCAGCTGTTGCTCTGATCTGGGTTCCTGCTCAGGCTTGGGATACAGACAATGATGGACATGCACTCCCAAGCACCCTCCTCAAAATCTGCCTTAGCAATAGCTTACAAAGGATCCCTCACTGAAAGTGTTGATCTTTTTTTTCTATATATTCACCTGCATCCATGAAAATAACCCTATGAAGTTAGCCTTTACTCAAACCCACCACAGAACATATAACTGAACATAAATTTAAGAATAGTGAATATAATACAAAACATATTAGTGAATGCAGTACAAAATTAAGTGCAACATCCAAACATAATCTAAATAGAAACTTTCCTGAAAATTATAATGTCCACCACAGGGTGTTCCTGTTTCCCTTGAAGACATCATATTTGATAAAACAGGGAAGAGCTTCTCCTGCACTGAGAGCGGGAAATGTTTCCGCTCTAAATCCAAACTTAATGTGCATAAAAGATCTCACACAGGGGAGAAGAGGTATTCCTGTCCTGAGTGCGGGAAATGTTTTGCACAAAAATCAGATCTTGTCAAACATGAAAGGTTTCACATAGGTGTGAAGCCATATTCCTGTCCTGAGTGTGGGAAAAGTTTTCACAGAAGTTCAGTCTTTACACACATCAGAGATCTGACATGGGGGAGAAGCTCTATTCTGTCCTGAGTGTGGAAAATGTTTTCCAGATAAGTCCAACCTTCATATACATCAGAGATGTCACACGAGGGAAAAGCCATATTCCTGTCCTGAGTGTGGGAAATGTTTTTCAGATAAGTCCAATCTTTACAGACATCAGAGATCTCACACGGGAGTGAAGCCGTATTCTTGTCTTGATTGCAACCCACAAATTACCGAACTGATCTTTATCCACTCAGATCCTACTCACTAGAACTCCTGCTACAAGAAGCTACTTCAACGTGATCCACCACTGCACAACGGACTTTCCGCATCAATACGCCCTGAGGTGAAACCTTTCGCCTCCCTCACCTGACCAGCACTTTGCTCTCCCTCCTAAAATGCCACCTGTACTCCTCCTCCTCATACTCCTCTCCTCTATTCCCAATCTCTCCCTCTACCCCCTACTTCCCCAAAACAACTATACATCGCACCCTCACTACTTCCATATCCCCTCTACGGCTCTCAACACCTCCTCCTAATACTCCATTCTCCCACCGACCCACACGCCACCACTAACAGACTCACACGCTCTTGCACATCCCGCTCCCATGCCACCTTTCTCACCCTTCTTCTTCTCCTAACCGCCTGGCACATCTCCCCGAACCCTGGTTCCTCACCACCTCACTTACCCACTAGGCACCCTCCTACTCCCACAAACTTCCGCAACCCCCTCAACCTAATACCTGTCCCCCTCCTTCCCACATCCACCCCTCTATTCTCGGTTGCACTCCTGAACGCCCGATTGGTTTGCAACAAGCTCACCGCCATCCATGACCTCTTTATCTCCCACTCCCTCAACCTCCTAGCGGTCACCAAAACCTGGATCCAAGCCACTGACTCTACCTCCCCTGCGGCACTCTCCTATATAGGTCTCATCTGGACCCATTCACCCAGATCGAGCGGTCGTAGAGGTGGTGGGGTCGGCATGCTCTTGTCACCGCTGAGCACCTTCCAGGTCCTCCCAAACCCTCCCTCTTTATCCTTCTCCTCCTTCGAGGCCCACTGCATCCGGCTCTTCTCTCCCACCCCTCTGAGGATTGCAGTAATCTATCGGCCTCCTGGACCCTTATCCCGCTTCCTTGACGATTTTGCCGCCTGGCTACCCCTCTTCCTCTCCTCTGAGCTACCCACCATCATCCTTGGTGACTTCAATATCCCTATCAACGTCAACAACCCGGCTATATCCCAACTCCTCCACCTAACCTCTTCTTTTGCACTCACACAGTGTACACAGTCCTCCACCCACATCGACGGGAACACCCTGGACCTCGTTTTTCTCTCATCTCTGCACCCCCACAACCTCACAAACACCCCTTTCCCTCTCTCTGACCACAACCTCATTACGTTCTCCATCTCCCCATCCTCAAACACCTCCCCCCAAACGTCAAACCATCACCAGCCGTAACCTCCGCAACTTGAACCTGGCCCCTCTCCACTCTGCAGCTGACCAACTTTACGAAAGTATCCTTCCACTGTCTTGCCCTGACCTGGCCACTACTGCTTATAACAACTCGCTGTCAGCTGCCTTAGACTCCTTAGCACCCCTAACCACACGCAGCATTCGACCCTGACCGCTTCAACCCTGGCAGAATGACCACACCAAAAATATTAAATGACGCAGTCGTGAGCTGGAGCGATTATGGCGCAAAACCAGATCCCCTCAAGCGTTCACCCGATACAAATCCGCCTTCCTCACCTACGCCGCCTCCTCCCTCCACGCCGCCAAGCAAGCCTACTTCGTAACCCTCATCAATACCCTCTCCACCTGTCCTCGCTGGCTCTTCTCCACTTTCAACTCCCTACTCTCCCCCCCCCCACCTCCACCCAGTACCTCATCCACCGCCCCACGAGATTGCCAACCACTTCCATAACAAGATCGACACAATCCGTAAGGACATCGCCAATGCTCAATCAACCTCCCCACCTAGCCTCCCTCCCACAATAACCCCCTCAACGCTCCCCTCCTCTGACCTTGCAACCGCCCTGACCCCCCACCACACCTAACACTCCACACACTAAAACCCCCCAACACTTCACTCCTTCAGCCTTGCTACTACTGAAGAAGTCACTAAGGTCTTCTCAGAAGCCCCTCACCACTTGCCCCCTCGACCCTGTCCCCACACAACTCCTCCGGTCACCCTCCTCCTCCATCCTACGCTCCCTCACCTACATCTTCAATCTCTCCCTCTCTACTGGCGCATTTCCCTCCCCCCTAAAGCACGCGCACATCACTCCCATACTCAAAAAACCCTCCCTGGACCCCACCGACCTGAACAACCTTAGACCCATCTCCCTGCTGCCATTTACATCCAAACTCCTCGAGCGCTTAGTTTATAATCGCCTAAGCTCCCACCTCAATGACAACAACCTCCTTGATCCCCTACAGTCTGGCTTCTGTCTCCTACACTCCACCGAAACCGCCCTACTCAAAATCACGAACAACCTGCTAACTGCCAAAGCTAATGGCAACTACTCAGTCCTCCTACTCCTCGACCACTCCGTGACTTTCTACACAGTTGACCACCCCCTCCTCCTTAATAAACTATACTCCCTTGGCATCAGAGACTCCGCTCTCTCCTGGCTCTCCTCCTATCTATCCCAGAGCCCCTTCAGTGTTACCTATAACGCTGCCACCTCCCACTCTCTCCCCCTCTCTGTTGGGGTCCCCCAAGGCTCTGTCCTCGGGCCCCTTCTCTTCTCCATCTACACCTCCTCCCTTGGCCAACTGATACACTCCCACAGCTTCAACTACCACCTCTACGCCGATGACACGCAAATCTACCTCTCTACCCCTCCCTCACCCCTTCAGTCTCCGCCCGAATCACCTGCCTACTGAATGAAATATCAGACTGGATGTCACTCCACTTCCCCAAATTAGACCTCTCCAAGTCCGAGCTCCTAGTTTTCCCCCCAGCCCGCACCCCCCCCCAACCCTCTCCATCACGACCAATAATGCCACCATCAGTCCCACCCCACAAGCCAAAGTCCTAGGTGTCACTCTAGACTCAAACCTGTCCTTCCTACCCCATGTCAAATTGATGGCAAATTCATGCAGGCTTCACCTCTGCAACACCTCCAAAATACATATGTTCCTAACCCCAGACACTACTAAACAACTCATTCACTCCCTTATTATCTCACGACTTGACTACTGCAACTCCCTCCTCACCGGCCCACCTCATCACAGACTATCCCCGCTTCCGTCTATTCTGAACTCAGCGGCCAGACTTATCCACCTTACCAAGCGCTCCGCATCTGCCACCCCCCTCTGTCATTCCCTCCATTGGCTTCTGATTGCCCAACGCATACAATTTAAACTTCTAACATTGACGTACAAAGCTATTCATAACACTGCCCCAAACTACCTCACCGACCTGATATCCAAATACAACCCAACCCGTACTCTTCGCTCCTCACAAGACCTCCTACTTTTGAGCTCCCTGGTCTCCTCCTCCAATGCCCGACTACAGGACTTCTCCAGGACTTCCCCCATCCTCTGGAACTCACTACCCCAATCCATCAGACTGTCACCTACCCTCCTCACCTTTAGGTGCACCCTGAAAACCCATCTCTTCAGGGAAGCCTACCCCACCCTCACCTAACAGCCAATCTCCTCCACTCCTCCTACCACTCCATCCCCCCACAGCCACTTCCTCCTGTACCACTATCCCCTCCCTCCTAGATTGTAAGCTCGAAATATCAGGGCCCACGAGCCCCTCGTGTATTGTTTTGTTACTGTATTGTCTCATGTACTGTCCCCCACTATATTGTACAGCGCTGAGCAAACGTTTTGGCGCTATATAAATACTGTATAATAATAATAAAACATGTGTGGTACAGGGCACATGTTCTGACATCAATAAACCTGGAACAATTTTATGGGTTTACACTATGTGTTGCTTTTTCTTTGATGAGATACACATAACGTGAGCATTCCCTGAAGTGAAGAGAAATAACCTAGGGCTGTTGGACTGAATTTTTGCAGGCTACTAATTGTTTAATATTGTTGTATCACCCTCCTAGTTAGCTAGAGGGAGATAGCGAATTATGAGAGGCTCTGCAGATCAGATCTTTGATACCTCCCCGAGATATAGAGACTTGGTGAAGTCTCTAGAACTCAGTGGGTGGGGGTGAGGAGGAGCTGGTTTGTACTCCTAAGAGATCCTGACCAATCCCCAGGCAGGAGGCTTGGCATGGGGTTCAGGACAGCCCTTTAGAGTGACTGAGCCTGCTCAGAGGCAGAGGAGAGTTCAGGTGGAAGATGGAGGAAGAAGGATGGAGTGTGAAACTTAGGAGGGGGCCCAGGAGAGGGGCCTACCTGCAGGCAGGATCTGGAAGAGAGGATCTCTTAGCCCCAATAATCCCCTGAGAGAGGCCAGCCTTGGAAGCAGGGAAGGAGTCAGCCCAGTGTAAGGCCTGAAGGCAAGCACCAACCAAAAAACTTGCAAAAGAGGACTGAGTCAGTAATCCCACACCCGGAGTCAGATAAGGGGAGAGGACATTCTGGTAGGAAACCTGACTAGCCCTCATCTGGGACTGCTGATTGAATAGTGGCAGATTCTGGGTCCCCTTGCCCAAGGATTCCCTCAGGTGTCTGGGTGATGAGGAGAATTCATCTGAGGTCAGAGATGATACACCTGGAGGGCTGGAGAGCTCTTCCAACAAAGAGACTTTGTTGTCTAATGGAATTGTACATAGTTGCTAAGGAGTTTGTCCTCAGTTCACAGTTTTCCTGGGCATCCCATAAACCCCTCAACCCAATCCAAGTTCAATACCCCTAAAACAATGTAAAAAATACAAGCTGAAGGACTGTTTACTGTCTCCTGTGTGCAAGGTCTGAGGAAAATGTGTATTTCTGGGCAGTACAAGACTATAGGGGGA